TCAACCACTGAGCAACACCAGCCAGGCTAAAAAGGCTTTATTAAACAATGAATTGGGCATCAAACCATCTAGCAATTAGAAGGGAGGTCTGAGGGGTAGGTTTTTGTTTGTTTGTTTGTTTTTTAAGAAAGGGAAGTGGGGCAAGGGACCTATTAACAAAGAAAATAAAGGATTATCTTCACACCAGGACTTCTTTTTCTGGAGGTTAGGAAGATGGCGAGGGTTTTTATCATAAAGATCTGCTCTTCTTTGCAAGTGGGGATGGGGTGTTTGGAGAGATTATCTCAATGATACTGATCAGAAAAATTCCAGAAATGTTGATTATGTTTCTGGTAGAGGTTCAGACAGCAATTAGGTAAGGTATTAAATCTGGATTTGGTATTTTGGATTTTGGCACAAGTGATACAATTTTGTTGAAATTTATTTTTCAATTATAGTTTACATTCAATATTATTTTGTTTCAATTTCAGTTATACAGCATAGTGATTAGACAGTCATATACTTTACAAAGAGACCTCCCCTAACCCCTGATAAATCTACCCATCTGACACCATTCATAGTTACTGCATTATTGACTACATTCCCTATGCTGTGTTTCACATCCTCATGACTATTTTGTTACTACCAATTTGTACTTCTTAATCCCTTCACCTTTTTCACACATCCCCTCACCTCCTCCTCCCATCTGGCAACCAACAACTTGTTCTCTGTTGAATTTTGTTTGATAAATTTTATTTTTTAACAAGCCAAATCTCACCCTGGCAGTAGCTCAGTTGGTTAGAGCGGTGTCCTGATATGCCAAGATTGTGAGGTCTGTGGTAGGCAGTTAGGCATGAGCAGAGCAAGGACGATGGGCTAGCTACTGAAGGTCATCAGGCTGAAAAGCCTTAGGTGCCCAGCAAAGGACAAAATGTAGCCCTAGCCCAGTGGTTGGCAAACTCATGAGTCAACAGAGCCAAATATCAACAGTACAACCATTGAAATTTCTTTTGCGCGCCAAATTTTTTAAACTTAAAACTTCTTCTAACGCCACTTCTTCAAAATAGACTCACCCAGGCCGTGGTATTTTGTGGAAGAGCCACACTCAAGGGGCCAAAGAGCCGCATGTGGCTCATAAGCTGCAGTTTGCCGACCATGGCCCTAGCCTGTTTGGCTCAGTGGATAGAGCATTGGCCTGTGAATAGAGGTGTCTTGGGTTTGATTCTGATCAAGGGCACATGCCAGGGTTTCGAGCTCAGTCCCCAGTGGTAGTGTGCAGGAGGGTTATTTTTAAAGATAAAATAAGGCTTATTTTAAAGATGAAATAAGCCCTAGCTGGTTTGGCTCAGTGTATAGAACATTGGTCTGGGACTCAAGGGTCCTAGGTTAGATTCTGGTCAAGGGCACATGCCTGAGTTGCAGGCTCAGTCCCCAGTAGGGGGCGTGTAGGAGGCAGCTAATCAATGATTCCCTCTCATCCTCTCCCTTCCTCTCTAAAATCAATAAAAAATATATTTAAAAAAATAAAATAAAATAGGACTGTCAGTTATCTACCCCCATTCCCCCAAAAAAGGACAAAATGTAGGGTGGAACCTTGCTTCCAGGGTGACCTTTCCTCCCCTAACATATCCAGGGGTTTGGATCCCCCCCTGACTTTTCCTCCCTAGAGATAATGTTTAGATCTCAGTTGTATTTCAGCCTAGGCCCAGAAGAGCAACAAAACCAGCCACAGCTGACTCAGGATAAGCTACATTGAATCAGAATGCCTGCCCTGCTGCCCACGAATCAATCAGTGGAGACTAGATCCTGAATGGACACAATTGGAAAGTTACTGAATATTCTACTGAGATGATCTCTTGAGACCTCACCTAAAATCTCCACCTTAAAACCCTTAGAACCTTGGATCTGGGGCCATTCCCTTCCCCTTTCTCCTCCCTACCCCAGGCAGTTTACCATTAGCTTCCTCACTTCCTAACTCCTAGAGTCCTTCCTTTATCTTCCTTTACCACTATAACGTGTTTGTTAACCCCTTTTCTTCTAGGAATTACTTTTTCTACCTCTGCGGTTAACCAAATAAATGTTCTTATAGTTTGGGCCTTGGCTCTGAATTCTTTCCTAGCCAGAACCAAAGTACAGAGATTGCTGAACCCAAGTCCAGTGTGACCCCATCACTCTTAAGGAGGAAACTGGTCTCGCAAAGTGTGTCAGGCCTTAAAAACAGGACCAATGCACTGCCCTGGGTGGGGGTGGGGAGTCCGTTATCACTGGCCTCAGAACAGATCTTCGGATATGGCCTGGGGACCCCCAACACCTGGGGGACATCTTGTAAGCCCACGAAAGGGGGCAGAATCATATCTGCAAGACAAAGACCCAGAAGGTTATAAAAGTGAAGCCCTCTGAAACTGGTTTGACTCAGTGTGTCCACTCAAGGGTCCCAGGTTCGATTCCGGTCAGGGGCATGTACCTTGGTTGTGGGCACATCCCCAATAGAAGGTGTGCAGGAGGCAGCTGATCAATGTTTCTCTCTCTGGATGCTTCTAACTCCCTATCCCTCTCTTTTCCTCTCTGTAAAAAATCAATAAAATATATTTTTTAAACTTAAAAAAAAAAGGGGTGGGGGGAGTCCTCTACGTGTGTCCTCCCTCTGATTTGGAAATTATTCCCGGAGTCCACTGGTGTTAATAAACGAGGTCCCTCCCTTTCTCTAGAAGTGTGCTTCGTATTTCTTTGGTCTTCTGCAACATTCTAACACGTGGTGTCCTTCCTGAATTCAGTTCTATCTCCAATCGCGGCATATACAAGAATCAACCAAAGAATGTATAAATAAGTGGAATAAATCTCTCAATCTCTCTCTCTCTCTCTCTCTCTCTCTCTCTCTCTCTCTCTCTCTCTCTCCCCCCCCTTTTTTCTCCCTCTCTCTCTCCCCCTTGCTTTACTAGTAAAAATCAATCAAATAATAAAAACAAGCCCAATCTCACACAAGACTGGTTTGACTCAGTGTGCCCACTCAAGGGTCCCAGGTTCGATTCCGGTCAAGGGCATGTATCTTGGTTGCGGGCACATCCCCAGTAGGGAGTGTACAAGAGGCAACTGATCGATGATTCTCTCTCCTCGATGTTTCTAACTATCCCTCTCCCTTCCTCTCTGTAAAAAATTAATAAAAATATATTTTAAAAATAAAAATTAAAATTAACAAATTATAAGTTAATAAATCGTTTTTAAAAATTAAAACTGGAACAGTTTTTCTTTAAGCATGTTCATAGTGCAGCAAACACAATTTTGCAATGCTCAGTTAAGTGAAGTGGATAGAGACACCACAGTGTGGCGCTCACAAGCACCTTTGCCATCTGCATCACATTGACTGAAATCTGAGCCCCTGAATGAGTTCCCTCTTTTCCCATCCCTGGCTACTTCACTCATCCTTCAGGTCTCAGTTTAGACATTGTCTTCCAGGAATGCTTTCCTATTCCTTAAGGCTGACTCATATTTTCCCCCTTTTGTTGTCAATAGTACAAGGGCTACTTCATAGCATCTATCATTTTATTATAATTTCCTACTTGTTCCTCTCACTCCTAGATTGTCAGCTCCTTGAGGACAGGGTCTGTTTGGATTCTACCTACTTTTTGTTGTTAAAGTTTTAAAAAAATATATTTCTATTGATTTTAAAGAGAGAAAGGGAGAGGGAGAGAGAGAAAAAAACATCAATGAAGAGAGAAAATCACTGATCAGCTGCCTTCTGCACACCTTCTACTGGGGTTCGAGCTTGCAACCCCAGCAGGTGTCCCTGACCGGAATTGAACCTGGGACCCTTTAGTCTGCAGGCCAATGCTCTATTCAACTGAGCCAAACCAGCTAGGGCTTAAAGATTTTTTTTAATTGATGTTGAGAGAAAAAGGAAGGGAGAGGGGGAAAAAGAGAAACATTGATGGGAGAGCAAAACATCAATTCTGGTATGTGCCCTGCCCATGAATCAAACAGACAACCCTTCAGTGCATGGGATGATGTCCAACCAACTAAGCCACAATGGCCAGGGCATGGAATCCATCTTTACAGCTTCCACCCAGCACAATTACCAGCCCAGAGTACATCCTTCATTCATTTTTGCTGACTTGCATAGAATATTGGTCCAGACAGGGTACTACAGTGGGAATCTATGCTGGCAGAGGGCAGAATGAGGGTATTGATGCCTGGAGATGCAAATAGGAAGTATTCAAGACAATGAAATCATAATACTTTATGCTGATTATCATGAAAAGAAAGTAAACTCACTAACTTTTTTAAAAATCTCACTTTTCCCCCCCCACTAAACTTTTAATTAAAAAATACAATAGCTGATTTTCAGGCTTCAGTTTTATCTTAATAGTTCCATTTAAATATCCCGTTACAATTTATTTAATCAATCCTTTATTGTTGGACATTCAGATTGTTTCCAACTTTTTACTATTATAAATAACAGTAAAATAAAGAGCTTTTGATGTATGTTGCCAAATTTTCCTCTAGAGAAGCTTTACTAATTCTCTTCAGGTTAGCAATATACTCTGTGTGACTAAGGCACTTTAGCCTGGAAATACAAATTTGCCAAGAAAAACCAGGACTGCCTTTTGGGTGTGCAATGGACTAGACAAATGCATACAACTTGTTTTAACACAAGTATATAATTTGTTTTAAATATATATTACAAAATTCATAGACCTGTGTGATTATATGAATTTATTGTTAAAGATTTAGAACAATGACGAAAACCAGTTTGACTCAGGGGATAGAGCATCGGACTGTGGACTGAAAGGTCCCAGGTTTGATTCCTGTCAAGGGCATGCACATTGGTTGCGGGCACATCCCTGATAGGGGGTGTGCAGGAGGCAGCTGTTCTATGTTTCTCATCAATGTTTCTATCTCTCTACCTTCTTCTCTCTAAAAAAAAAAAATCAGTAAAATATATATATTTTTAAAAGATTTAGAATAATGGATAGAGAAGAGATAGTTCCACACTTATTTATTACTCAGTCAGTGCTTATCGAGTTTCCAGAGCCCTGAAGACAAGGAGTAACATCCCAAAATATGGACTCATTTTCCACTCCACCTTCATTGGCCGAGCAGCTGCCAAGAACAAAGGCCACATCTCCCGATACCTGGCAAACAAATGCAGTATTGCCTCGCGAATTGATTGCTTCTCTGAGGTACCCACAAATGTATTTGGGGAGAAGCTTCGAGAACAAGTGGAATAGCGGCTATCCTTCTATGAGACTGGCGTGATTCCACGAAAGAATCTGGAGTTCATGAAGGAGGCAATGGTACAGGCAGAGGAAGTGGCTGCTGAGATTACTAGGAAGCTGGAGAAACAGAAGAAACGCTTGAAGAAGGAAAAGAAACGGCTGGCTGCAATTGCCCTTGCATCTCCAGAAAACAGAAGCAGTACACAAGAAGAGTGTGAGGAAATAAATGAAAAACCTAAAAAGAAGAAAAAGCAAAAGCTCCAGGAGAATGGAACAGAAGACCCACCTGTTTCTTCACCCAAACCCAGGAAAAGGAAATCTTTGCCCACAGAGGAGATAGTTAATAATGATCTTGAGACAGCTACCAATGGAAATCTTCCCAAGAGGAAGAAATCTTTAACCAAACCAGAACCCGAAGAGGCAGCAAACAGGAGTGTTCTCAAGAAAAAGAGGAAACTCTCTTTGAAGGAGGAACCTCTCAGCAGTGGACATGAAGAGGCTGTTAGCAACAAGAGCTCAAAGAAAAAGAAAAAGCTAAAGCTGGCCCAGGAGGATTAGAATGGACAGTACTCTGGTGGGGTATAACCACCAAGTTACCCACCCCCTAAGTCCCAATAAAAGAAAAATCACAAAGAAAAAAAAAAAAGATTCTTTGTGGTGACCAGGCACTAACTCTTCTGTTCTGGCTAATGTCAATGCTCTCACTGCCATGGTTCTGCCACCTGTTTGTGATGATACAATGGAGGTCTTCTTGCCTCTGTAGCCTTCTGGAATCATTTCTATGATGTTGCTGTATCATAGCTAAGGAACTGCCCCCTGCTGTAAACATTGGCTTCCACGGACTCTCTCCAAGTTGTTCTGATGTGTCCACCATGACAACCCAGAGAGTGCAGGAAGATGCAAATGAAGGTTCATTTTTCTGATTATGGTGAAGGCACTGTTTGGAATTTTATGGCATAAAGGCAGAACAACAGCCATGTCTTTCCTTGACCTCTTTTGCCCTATAGTCTGCACTCTTAGAATGTGATCTCTTCCATTGTTGACCCCACACTGTATTCTATACCCTACCACCAGCTAGGGTAGGAATAGGGGGTTGGGGGTTGAGGCAAAAAGCCCATGGCTGGAAGATAAGCTGATTCCAAAGGACTTAAGACTGACCAGGGAAAGCAAGACATTATCACATTCATTGCAGGCAAGAGAAGACATCAATTGGGATGCCATGCAGGCTTTCAGAGGAAAATGGCATGTGGCATGGACACTGCAGAGGGGCTGAAGTCACCACTTTGTTTACCAGAGCTAGGGAATAGGGTGAGTGACATCTACTGCCTGAGCTGTTGCCCTCAGGTGCGTTTGACTGCTGGCAGGATCCAACCCAGATGGGCCATGTGGACTATGAGCAACTCAGAGCTCTGAACTTCTCATGTGCCCAGAGTAATTGAGAGTCACCACAACCAGTGTGTAGGCACCACTGTTGTGACCCAATCTCTTGAGATTCTCTGAAAGAAACACTGTACAAATAAGGGCTTGTGATCTACCCCTGACCCTCCTGGAACTGCCTTGGTCATGACACCCCGGAGCTATCCCATGCATAGAGAGTCCTCATTTACTCTCCTCCCTCCCTTCTACCCTGGGCTAGCTCATGGGAAGGGGAATCGAATATCAGAGAGTTCCTGGAAGGAAAGAAATGGGTTCTGGGATTGTGAGGGACCTGGTTTGTGATTAGATGCACACCTGAATGGCCCAGCCTTAGGGGGAGACAGAAAGTGTTGAGAAATGACACAGTGGGCTTCTAGTCACAGATCTGGATGTAAAGGCAGAGCTGAGACTACCAAGCACAGTGATAACTAAATGATGTCATTTGCAGTATATTCACTGCCTGGGGATTATTTTTACTGCTACCATTGGTGGTGAGTCTAACATCAGATTGAGCAAATGTGGAAAGTCTTATGCTCGGCAGCCAGGGGCGCCCCAGTGCTCTGTTTAGTTATAATAAGTTGCTGGCAAATGTAGAGGAATGGGTTAAAAATAAAGAAGGGGAAGTATGAGAACACAGTTCTTACCAACTAAAAATAACTTTCAATGTTTATTTTTTTTTAGTGATTCTCTTTCAGCTATAAATTTACTTTATAGGCTATTGGATCTTTTACTCTCCAAGCTCTGAAACTAACTTTTGTTAAAGTGGCATTGCAAAGAAAGCTATGCTTTCATAGAGCCTGCCAAAATAGATAGGAATGATTTTTAAAAAAGTTCCAGGAACTATGTAATGACTTTTTTAAAACCAAGAATTAAGAATCTGTATTTGTGAAAATGCCAACTTGATGCTCACCAATAGTTTTGGATCTTTTAAAGCAAAAGTAAAAGTTTAATTAACAAAAATATGTGATTTAAAGGACTGTTTGTGAGGTTAGAATTTTTAAAACTAGTTTTTTACATTTTACAGGCTAGTAAGAGCTTTTTCTTATTTTTGGAGAGCAAATGATAATAGTTTTTTCATTACAGAGATTTTAAACCTGGTGAAAGTTTTAGTCTTTAACCTGTTCTTTTTTTATTTTAATTTTAGAAATTTTAATAGATTTTAGAGAGAAAGGGAGAGAGAGAAACATTGATAGGCTGCCTCCTGCATGCCCTCTACTGGGGATAGACTGAGCCCATAACCTGGACATGTGTCCCTCCCTACCAGGAATCAAATCAGCAACCATTTGGTGCACAGGATGATGTCCAATCAGCTGAGTCCCACAGCCAGGGCTAACCTGTGTTCTTTAGGATCTAGCCTTAGCTTTTAAATGAAGACTTTATATAAGCAGTTCTGCCCTTCTGATTTTCTCCCATGTCAGAAACAAACAAAAAAAAGAAAGAAAGAAAAGAAAGGGAGGGAAGCAAGAAGGAAAAAAGAAAGGGAGAGAGAAAAAAAAGAGAAGGAAAGAAGAAAAGAAGCGGGGAGGGAGAGAAGAAGGGAGGGAGGAAAGGAAGGGAGGGAGGAAAGGAAGAAAGGAAGAAGGGGAGGGAAAAATGAATGAAAGAAAAGATCCGGAAGCTCCAGGAACTTCTGGATTCATAGCTAATGAACCATAAATCTAAGGACATGCATTTTGTGTCTGTTTGAAGGACATTACCAGCAGATGATCCCTTCAACTTTAATTTTCAGCAGTGGCCCCTTGCAAGGCTACTTGTCTTTCCCATCTGCACTAGGGTTTGAGAGGACAGAAGTTGATGAGAATTACTTTGGAATGCTGACGTGTCTCATTCAGACAATTTTTCCGGAGCAAAGTATTTTCGTAACATTTACTGGCAGCAGAACATAGATGATATCAGGGAAGTGATTCCCGCACTGCTGAGCTGCTTAATTCCCCAGTTAAACACCGATCTGACGTCAACAGCCTCATAGCCAGGAGGACTGCCAAAGTCCTGCTGCACTTAAAGAGACTTCCCACTACTCCAGGAATGCCACTTTTCACTACTATTATTTTCTAATAATGTGGTTCTTTTTCCTAATCAACATTTGATTTGTTTTAGGTATATAGACTCAAACACACTTTATTTGGTGGAAGGGATTTGAAAAAATTTAACCAAAATTTAAAATTTTTCTAAGATTGAGCCTTATCCTTTCACTATATCAATGCCAGAGAAAAGACCCGAGGTTGTGCTTTTTGCATGTTTGTTATACCTTTGTCCAAGGAATATATTATGTAAAAATATGGAAGAATTGAGAACGTTGGCATTTTGTAGGAAAGCATATTCCATGGCACAGGAAGACATCTAAAAATAAGACAGCTAATCTTAAACATTTAAAAAGTTGATTTTAGATGGGAGGGGGAGATATCAAAGTGAGAGAGAAACATTGATCAGTTGCCTCCTGCAGACACCCTGACAGTAGATCAAACCTGTAATCTAAGTATGTGCCCACAGTAAAACCCACCACCTTTTGGTGTATGGGATGATACCCCAACCAACCAAGCCGCACTGGCCAGGGTTAATTGTATTAATTCAGGCCCCAAGTTTTAAGAACTGTAAGACATAAAATGATATTTTTGTAGATGACCCCTATAATCCCTTAAGTTTCTATTATTCCAGGAATTCATTGCTTCACCAAAGCAGAAAATTCAAGGGACAGAGTTTAATAGCCAAGAAAGACCTCACTACAGTCTTGTTCATACGATTATTGAATATTGTAACATAATCCAAGCATAGGTGAGTAACTGAACTTAAAAGGTATTTTGCTGTGGAAACCCCTTTCACATCCCGAGTGGGTCAGGGTTCTGGAGAAGGCCATACACAAATGAAAGGGACTAGAGAAGTATTAATTCGAGAATATTGGTGGCCAGGCAGGAGCCCACCTCTAGTGAGAGGACTACCACCTTGCTTTGGCCTTGCCATCCCTTTTATTCAGGTTTGGGATACACCCATTGCCCTTAGGCAGGTAATTCCAGTAATAGGCACATTATCTTATCAGTAAGGACTTACTTGATTATTTGGTGGGAAAGTTGCCTCACTTACCATTGTCTTAATTAGATAGGGAGTGGTTGGCTCTGACCTTTCAGAGCTTCAAGGTTCACCAGCCTCCTGGGTTCCTTGTCCACACCTTTCTAATTAGTGAGACAATGATTGGTTTCTGGCATTTTGCTACTACAAGATTAAAGAGTACCAGTTCAATTTCAGTTAATCAACTTTCATAAGAAAGAAGGCACCCATGGCTGGAATTTTAGAGGGAGTTAATGTGGGGACTATTTTCAGAGGCACAGGCAGGGTTCAGGGCATGTTGAGACACTGAAGACTAGTAACAGCAGAAAGTTGTTACTACAACACAGTGAGGGTTAACCTCATTCTTGGTGACAGCCCATGAAACCAGGACTGACACTTAAAAAAAATATATATATATATATATATATGTGTGTGTGTGTGTGTATATATATATATATATATATATATATACACACACACACACACATACATATACACACACACATATATCACACACACACACACACACACACACACACACACACATATATATATATATATATATATATATATATATTTTATTGCTTTTTTACAAAGAGGAAGGGAGAGGGATAGAGAGCTAGAAACATCGATGAGAGAAAAACATTGATCAGCTGCTTCCTGCACACCCCCTACTGGGGATGTGCCTGCAACCAATGTACAGGTCCATGACCGGAATCGAACCAGGGACCCTTTAGTCTGTAGGTTGATGCTCTATCCAGTGAGCCAAACCGCTCAGGGCAGGACTGACACTTTTTTACTGGTTTAACTAAGCCTGTTAGATAGTCTTTCTTAAGGCATATGATGAGAGGGCCTATAAGTATAAGATCCTATGGAGAAGCAATTAGTCTGTGAGAGCCATATGAAAGCAGAATTAAGATCATCATTAGGAATCTGGTCTTTAGAGAGAAGAAAATAGAGAACATTAAAATTAAAGAACAAGTGGCCCCAGGAAACACAGGCAGGGAGAGATGTTCTCTCTGTTATCTTTGAATCCCCAATGTGACCAGCTAAGTTCTTTTCCGTCCTGAGTCATCAGGGACTTACAGCACTTACATCATTTGGTTACACTTGCTTAGAACAAACAAAATTTTCCCGAGAAACCATTAAATATTTAACGAGTAATAGCTGCAACATATTCCGTTTTGT